CTCTATTTTATAATAATTGAAATAATACAGGGTGTACACACAATATATACATATACCAGTAATCATTACTCCACAGTTGATCAAAGGAAGTATTTCTCAGCTAAACAAGTGCCAAACTTATGAGAATTTATTTTAAATTAATTTTAGTTCTTTTTGTAAATGAAGTCTAAGAAGATACATACATATGTGTGTGTGTGTGTGTGTGTGTGTGTGTGTGTGTGTATCATAGATGTATTTCCTCTTTTGACAGAAAGTTCCAGTCTCTTCACTTCATGGTACCATAGGTTTTATTAAGAAAGCAATGAACTAGAATACTACTCAGCCATGAACAAGAACAAAATAATGACATTCACAGCACCATGGCTGAACTTAGAGATTATCATACTAAGATAAAGGCAAATACCATATCACATCATTTATATGTGGAATTCTTGATAAAACATGACACAAATGAACTTATCTACTAGACAAAAACGGACTCACAAACAGGCAACAGACGTGTGCTTGCCCAGGGAGAAGGGGTGCTGAGAAGGGTGGATTGGGAGTGTGAGGCTAGCAAATGCAAGCTATTATATATAGGATGGATAAACAACAAGGTCCTACTGTGAAACAAGGGAATTATATTCAATATCCCATGATATTTTCCCATACTGGAAAAGAATATGAACCTGAGTGTATACATACATAACTGAATAACTTTGCTAGGTAGTAGAAATTGACACAAATTTGTAAATTAACAATACATCAATAAATTTTTTTAATGAAAAAATAAAAAATAGTTACCAAATTAAAAAAAAAAGAAGCCAATAGACTCTATATCATAACAATATTTAGCACATATTCTTGTCATAAAAATGTGATGGAGTGTAAGGATATTAGCTTCGGAATCAGGAGACATTAGTTTTCTTTCAGACTATGCCATCATCTTCTATAACCTTAGACAGCTTTCCCTGTTTCTACAAATACTTTACATAGGTAAATTGAAAGGTGTTTCCAAGTTCTGTAATTCTACCCAGAACAATATGTTTATTGCCATAAATATTGTTTATTTTACTTCTACTTCAATTAGAAGTAAAATTGGAGGAGTTACGAGATGACAGTTCACTCTCCTCCAATGTAAAAAAACACTGGAGATGTCCTTGTCCTTCTGTGATGAAAGATTCCTCGGATTGGACTAAACACGATCTCTGTTCCTGAGAGATTTGTTATTTTGAGGATATATTTCTCTACCTATTTAAATGCATGAAGCTGCCCATAAGAATACTTTAGCAGGTACCTTGTTTTTGTGAAATTAGTCCCTGACAACAAAAATCAAATCATCCTTCAACTAATTTCTGATCAACTATAATAAGATCCATATATAATTTATCTTGCTTTCCTTCTGGTTTACCCTTCAGTTTTGAGAATCTGAGTTGCTGTCTCTCTGGAATTTTAAATCACTATGTCCTTGAACTTGCATTCTGGAAACAGACTTTCCTGGTGTAGTTCCAGGAACTCCTCTTTAGAAGAACATTTTTATGGAAACCTTCTATGATTTGGACCTGATCCCACTCTCTTTCCTTTTCATGCTGTTCTCAGCTTGGGGAGTTGAATAGACAGGTATAGGGTTTCTAAATCAATCTCTCTACCCAGCACTGTAACTAATTAAGCAGAGGCTGGATGACCACTTAACAGACAATTCCGAATGGGTTTCAATATTTTATGAGGTTGGGAATGATAACTTTGTCAGTGCATGCTATTTCTCTGATCTGACTTTCATTCCAAATATAAAGACAAGGTCATGACATTTTCATGATGACACTTCAGGAAAATCTATACCCCTAGTAGTTGTTTAGATAGTTTCAAATTCTCATTCAAACTGTCTTTGGCATCTGACACCACAAAATATTATTAGTGTACCCTAATATTGGAGTGTCCAGTGAATATAAGTTTGATCAAGTGGTTTCACTTTTCTTAAATTCTTTTCTTTCATAGTACATGCTGCTCACAGTGATCACATTCTCTGGAGTCAATTGATTTTTACTAAACAACCAGTTAGTCACTCAGTCATGTCGGACTCTGCAACTCCATGAATGGTAGCCTGCCAGGCTCCTCTGTTGATAGGATTCACTAGGCAAGAATACTGGAGTGGGTAGCCAATTCCCTCTCTGGGGGATCTTCCAGACCCAGGGATCAAACCCAGGTCTCCCGCCATGCAAGCAAATTCTTTACCATCTGAGTCACCAAGAAAGTGAAAGTATCTGACTCTTTGCAACCTCATGGACTATAGCCCGCCAGTTTCCTCTGTCCATGGGATTTCCCAGGCAAGAATACTAAAGTGGGTGGCCATTCTTTTCTCCAGGGGATCTTCCCAATCCAGGGATCAAACCCAGGTCTTCCTCATTGTAGGCAGATTCTTAACTGTCTGAGCCACCTGGAGAATCCCTATAATCGAGCGTTAGGTACAATGTATTTTTTTTTTTTCTTCTTAGTAATGCAAGCATATTCAAACATGCTGAATGAGTGTTGATCTATACAGAAATATTTCTGAGTTGAATTTATTTAAATTTATTTATAAAATGTTTTCAAATATCAAATCAGTATTTATTTATTTACATAGACAATTGTAATGGGCCTTACAGTAGGTGGCAGCGTAAATGTGTCATGTCACTTCAGTTGTAAACAATAATTTAGATAAGGATCTTGGTCCAAGATTTGATCTCCTGGCTTCTTATTTCTCCTTGGCAAATGACATTCTTCTTTCCTGTCATATTTTCCTGTTATAAATTGTGGATATTATTGCCCATTTTTTGTGGTGGTGGTTTAGTTGCTAAGTTGTGTCTGACTCTTGTGATCCCATGGACTATAGCCTGCCAGAATCTTTTGTCCATGGGATTCTCCAGGCAAGAATACTGGAGTGGGTTGCCATTTCCTTCTCCAGGGGATCTTCCCAACCCAGGGGTTGAACCCTGGTCTCCTGCATTGCAGGCAGATATTTTTACCAACTGAGTTATGAGGGAAGCCCATTTTTTTGTATTCCATACAAATATTGTACAATTAATTTAAATGACTGAAATAAATGCCTTTCAACATCTCTCTCTATAATTGAAGAATAGAATTATCTTCAACATTATCATGCTAATCTAATTCCAGAATTGACATAGGAAAGAATTCAAAGACTGTACACTTTACCTTATGTGAAGTGACAATATTGCAGTAGGATTTATAATTATAAATGAATGTATATCTGAAAGCAATATTTTAAAATTATGATTAGCATGAAAAGTAGATCAATTTAAAAATAATTACTATAATAAAATTAAAAAATCAGTTACCCACTTAGATGTTTAATTTGTATAATACTAAGACCTCATAATAAACTCATATGTTATCAAATATCTAAATTAATAAGTACTTAACTATTTTCTTGCTCTTGTCATAGTGCTTTGTCTTCTTGTAGACACAAGAGGCATTCAAAATTAAAGATGAGTTCTGCAAAATTTCTCCTGCATTCTTCAGTTTACTTATATGAAATAATTGAGTACTTGGAAAGGTCTGCTAATGATGGTGGAGTACCTCTTGGGTCCTATTAGCCACAGCTAGGAAACTACAGATTTTCCTACAAAGAATATATATGGTCATACTTTTAAGGCTCATCCAAAGATATCATTTATAAATTAACAAAGATACTTACTGTAACTGAGCTAGTTGACATTTTAAAATCTTACAGCTTTACTTTTCTCTTGGTGAACTAAGAGCTTCCTGAGGCCCTGGCCATGGATCCATGTCACACATAGGTGAGCACAGGTGAGGTTCTCCGCCCCCCCCCCCAAGGAAATTGTATAATCATAGATTCTTGGGTTTAAATTGACCTTATAAATCATGTAATCACTGCTATCTTCACCTGACATTGAAATCTCATTTTCAGCATACAAATTTTTAAGAAAGATAGACATATATATATAATTTCACTTTAAAAATAGAAAAGTTTGTTTTATTTTCTTATGGATATATATTTAAATGCAGTTTGAGTAATACACTAGTCAGAATTAAAATAGAATAATTATGCAATTCAAATTTGCATCCAGGTTTTCTTCACTTTATATTACAAACTGAGACTCTTCCAGTGACACTGCACAATTTTTAAAATCTACACAGTAATCAAAGTGATGCCCTACATTTAATCATCCATTTCTCCAATTTTGAACACTCTATGTTGTTTCTAAGTTTTTGCAACTCTTAATATTTGTATTGAACATAATTATAAATTATTTTTGTCCTTTAAAAGTATTTTTTAGAGTGAATATTGTGGAGCCAAATAAAAATGGAAAAGTGATTTATTTTTTTTAAATATTTACTTCAAAAACATTCTTAAGTAGATCTAACTCTTATTCTATGTATGCTATATCCTTTCATGTTCCGTTGGGGGAATCCCGCCTGAAAAAAATACAGTGCAATGGAGCTGCTGTACATTTTTACATAAGTATAAAATTTTCCTCTGGATAATTGAAAAATAAAGGATTTTATCCATTTATCTTTGAAAAGAAGACATATGTTTTGCAGAATACATGTTATGTTTGTGTTTTCTCTTTTCTTTGGAAAGTGTATGTTCCCCCAATTTTTCATTCTGCTATTACTGGTAAGGTGGTAACCTAGGACCAGGAGGATGATGCTACGTGAAGATGGGAGAAGACACAGTACTATACGCAGCAGAAACTTAAAGGAGTGAGAACTCCATTCTTCCCATGGGTGGATGCCGTGCCTCTCTTTGGTGATGAGATTTCAGGCAGTAAAGTCATTTAACTAGGACACTCTTCATGCCATTGTGCAAGCAAACATGCATTAACACACACAGTGAGTGATCAGTATTTGTTCAATGAGTAAACCTGTGATAGGTGCTTAAGTAGAAGATTTCATATGCGTGTGTGTTCATCTGAGTGTACATGTTGTGTGTGGAGCACATTAGCCTTCTCTCTTACCTATCAGTCTATTTCTTGCTCTTCTTCACATCAAGCTTTTACTTTCAGAACTTTGAAAATAAGGATGTCCTCTGCATGAAAGTTCTTTGTGTACCTAACACCTATGCAAGACTTGTTTATCCACATCTACAGAAGCTGTAAATTTACTGAATATAACTATGTCAAATAGTGTGTGGAACATAATTTTGAAGACTAAAGAATAACAGTAAACACACACCATAATTACACTGAAGGTAAAACAACCCAGTAACATACTCTTTCTAGAGATAACTAGATATATTCATCTTTATTCCACACAATTAATAGTGTGTGAGGAACTACTAAACTGGAGTGCAGATTCCTTTCAAATATCTATTTATGGTTCTCATAAAGTAGAGACTAATGATAAACAGCAGGGGGAAAAGAACACTTGAATTTATCATAGGTGTATGGTCAGGGGAAGCAGTTATATGTTACTCAGGGCAAAAGGCAATTCACTAAGTATTTACTCATCACCTAACAGGTTTCAGGGGCTTCCCAGGTGGTGCAGGGGTAATGAATCTTCCAATGCAGAGATGCAGGAGATACAGGTTCAATTCCTGGGTCGGGAAGATCCCCTGGAGTAGGAAATGGTAACTCCACTCTAGTATTCTAGCCTAGAAAATTCCATGGACAGAGGAGACTGGTGGGCAGGCTACCGTCCATGGGTTCAAAAGAGTGGGACACGACTGAGCACCCACGCAATAGAATTCAGGCACTGCAGACATCATGCCAGGCACTAGAGGTAAGCGAGAAAACACTGGAATAGTGTATGTGTTCTGGCTGATATCAGGTAGAGTGTATCACCAATGACTAATATACATTTTCCTAAACTCCCTTCTTATAACAGATACTTAGTGATGGTGCCTTTCCTTCCACTTTAGAGCAGAGAATTCAAATGCAAATCCTCATGGAAGCGGGAAAAATTCTTAATTCTTTGAAACAATTGTAAACTTAAAAGTTACATCTGAGAATTATAATTTGTAACCTCACAGACACAGAGGAAAACTCAGAAGCGTGGGACACTCTGATAGCTTTGCAGAGTCACACGGGTGAGAACCAGAATGAGAATCAGATGTCACGTAGACAGCCCAGTGTTGTCTCAGCAAATTACACATAAAATACTGCTGTGGAGGTGTTTCACAGGGGACAGGTGCCACGTGTCTGAAGAGATGAAAAGTATCATGGGGAAAATACAGACTTGAAACAAGTATTGGGGCAAAAGTGCTGAGGAAATGCTCCAGAGTTACAGTGAATGGATTGTTTTGCTTTTTCTTTTTTTTCTAAGACGTTTAGAACACAGTCCTTTCATGATGAATAGGTATCATTCTTCATTCCTTTGTAGATAACTGAGGCCCCAGGAACGTGCTGCTTTCTAAATGGATTTCTTCAGGCTTCCCAACAATATGACTGAATTTGTCCTCCTGGGACTCACACGGGATCCACACCTGCAAAAAGTACTCTTTGTTGTCTTTCTGTTCATTTTCCTGTTCACTGTCTTGGCCAATCTTTTCATCGTCACCACCATCTCCCTCAGCCCCACACTGTCCACTCCCATGTACTTCTTTCTCACCCATTTGTCCTTGTTAGATGCCTCCTTGACATCCGTCAGCACCCCTAAAATGACTTTTGACCTGCTGCACCAGAGGAGAACCATCTCCTGGGGAGGCTGCCTGACTCAGCTCTTCATGGAGCACTTTCTGGGAGCGTCAGAGGTCATCGTCCTCACGGTCATGGCCTACGACCGCTACGTAGCCATCTGCAAACCTCTGCACTACACGACCATCATGCGACAGGGGCTCTGCCAGCTCCTGGCATTGGTGGCCTGGACTGGGGGGATCCTGCATGCCACCGTGCAGATTCTTTTCACAGGAGACTTGACCTTCTGTAGTACCAATGTCATTGACCACTTCATGTGTGATTTCTACCCACTATTGGAAATTTCCTGCAGCGACACCTACAGGCTTGGAATGGTGGTGGCAGCTAACACTGGGGGCATGGCCTTGCTCATTTTTTTTCTGCTCCTCATCTCCTACATAGTCATTCTTAGCTCCCTGAAATCCTATAGTTCTGAAGGAAGACGAAAAGCCCTCTCTACATGTGGCTCCCACTTTACAGTAGTGATGCTCTTTTTTGGACCATGTGTATTCACTTACACACGTCCTGTGGCCACTTACCCTGCCGACAAGTTGGTGACAGTGTTTTATGGGATCCTCACTCCCTTGTTAAATCCTATCATTTACACAGTGAGAAACACAGAAGTGAAAAATGCCATGAGGAGTTTGTTAAAGAAGAGAGTGACTTAGGCTGTTCATGATGCCAAGAGAATAATGATTTATATACATAGGGAAGATTATTTGTGTTGTAAGTTGTGGAAGACAATGAAGAATTTTTTCCATCATTGACAAAAATATAAGGCCCAGAAGTTAACATTTGTTGATTATTTAATATTGACTACACGTATTTTAGGTATTTTGGTAAGTTTCAACATATTTTCCTGAGGTTTCCATGTTTGTGTTATTAGATTCAGAATAAACAATGGAAAAAACAACTATATTCCCTTGGTTTGATGATTGTAGAGGAAGTTTTTCTCCATTATCTTAGCTACTTACCAAATTCTTCATATATGTTAATTGGATGAAATAGGCTTGTCCATAGGACTTTGATCTCAGAACTTCTTCTATTTTTGCTTCATTTGATGTAAAGCAAATAAGGGATAGAAATTCTTAGGTAGATATGTGGAGAAGGAACAATCGAGGAAAGGAATAGCAGCTGGAATTTTTTCTGCACTACGAACTAATCAAAAGGAAAGAATAACTCACTCTTTGTGTATGTTAGTCCCTCAGTCGTGTCCAACTCCCTGAGACCTCATGGAATTTAGCTTGCCAGGCTCCTCTGTCCATGGAATTTTCCAGGCAAGAATACTGGGGTTGGTTGCCATCTCTCCCTCCAACGTATCTTCCTGACCAGGGACTGAACTCATGTCTCCTGTGTCTCCTACATTGCAGGCAGATTCTTTTAGCTCTGAGCCACTGGGGAGGACGGAATAATTCACAATCTCTAATTATTTTCTTAACAAAGAATAATTCAGAAAATTTGAAAGCATTCTTAATTTGCTCTATTTTGTTAAACACCTTTATGACTCACACTTTTTGTGTGTGTGTATAAAGGAATACTTTCATTTTCCATACCAAGACTTCAGGATCCAGTTGAAACAACGTACACATCTTTTTATAAATCTCAACAAAAAAAAGCATATGGGTAGGTTCCAAACTATTGTTCTGTAGGTCAGATACATATATTTACATTACATGAATGGTTTATTATCTATTAGGCACAAAGAGAAGCAAATAGAGGTTTACTAACTTACTAATTTACTTGACTCATATCACATGTGTTTCCCCCTAAAATATGTCAGGAATATTACACTGGAATGCAGTTTCCTGTCAACAGTTTCACCTACAAAATATCAATCCAGGTCTTTAAAGCTCAGTCTTACTCTCTTTCAAATAAAGCAGAGTTGTCGTTTTATGTTTAGGCCTACAGATGAGAAAATGATCTGCCGTCTTAGTGACTGACTCTGTCCTTCAAGTAGATGGTGTCAGTGTGCTTAGCCTTGTCTCATAGGTGACAACATATTTCTGCAGTGCAAGTTTATTCTCTTTTTAAAGGTTTGTTATGCCACTTCACTTTTACAAAGACCAACATGAGTACAGTAATGGTAACCTATAAAGAAAAAGATCTGAAAAAGTATATATACATACGTATACCCTGATAGCTCAGCTGGTAAAGAATTACCTGATGCAGGTGACATCAGCTCAATTCCTGAGTCAGGAAGATCCCCTGGGGAAGGGATAGGCTCCTGACTCCAGTATTCATGGGCTTCCCTAGTGGCTCAGATGGTAAAGAATCTGCCTGCAATATTGGAGACCTGAGTTCGTATTCCTAGATCAGGAAGATCCCCTGCAGATGGTGAATGGCTACCCACTCCAGCACTTTTACCTGGAGAATCCCATGGACAGAGGAGCCTGGCAGGCTATGATCCAGGGAATCACAAAGATTTGGATTGGTGACAGTGTTTTATGGAATCCTCACTCCCTTGTTAAATCCTATCATTTACACAGTGAGAAACACAGAAGTAAAAAATGCCATGAGGAGTTTGTTAAAGAAGAGAGTGACTTAGGCTATTCATGATGCCAAGAGAATAATGATTTACATACACAGGGAAGATTATTAGTGTTGTAAGTTGCGGAAGACAACGAAGAATTTTTTCTATCATTGACAAAAATATAAGGCCCAGAAGTTAACATTTGTTGATTATTTAATATTGACTACACATATTTTAGGCATTTGGTAAGTTTCAATATATTTTCCTGAGGTTTCCATGTTTGTGTTATTAGATTCAGAATAAGCAATGGAAAAAACTATATACCCTTGGTTTGATGAGTGTAGAGGAAGTTTTTCTCCATTATCTTAGCTACTTACCAAATTCTTCATATATGTTAATTGGATGAAATAGGCTTGTCCATAGGACTTTGATCTCAGAACTTCTTCTATTTTTGCTTCATTTGATGTAAAGCAAATAAGGGATAGAAATTCTTAGGTAGATATGTGGAGAAGGAACAATCGAGGAAAGGAATAGCAGCTGGAATTTTTTCTGCACTACGAACTAATCAAAAGGAAAGAATAACTCACTCTTTGTGTATGTTAGTCCCTCAGTCGTGTCCAACTCCCTGAGACCTCATGGAATTTAGCTTGCCAGGCTCCTCTGTCCATGGAATTTTCCAGGCAAGAATACTGGGGTTGGTTGCCATCTCTCCCTCCAACGTATCTTCCTGACCAGGGACTGAACTCATGTCTCCTGTGTCTCCTACATTGCAGGCAGATTCTTTTAGCTCTGAGCCACTGGGGAGGACGGAATAATTCACAATCTCTAATTATTTTCTTAACAAAGAATAATTCAGAAAATTTGAAAGCATTCTTAATTTGCTCTATTTTGTTAAACACCTTTATGACTCACACTTTTTGTGTGTGTGTATAAAGGAATACTTTCATTTTCCATACCAAGACTTCAGGATCCAGTTGAAACAACGTACACATCTTTTTATAAATCTCAACAAAAAAAAGCATATGGGTAGGTTCCAAACTATTGTTCTGTAGGTCAGATACATATATTTACATTACATGAATGGTTTATTATCTATTAGGCACAAAGAGAAGCAAATAGAGGTTTACTAACTTACTAATTTACTTGACTCATATCACATGTGTTTCCCCCTAAAATATGTCAGGAATATTACACTGGAATGCAGTTTCCTGTCAACAGTTTCACCTACAAAATATCAATCCAGGTCTTTAAAGCTCAGTCTTACTCTCTTTCAAATAAAGCAGAGTTGTCGTTTTATGTTTAGGCCTACAGATGAGAAAATGATCTGCCGTCTTAGTGACTGACTCTGTCCTTCAAGTAGATGGTGTCAGTGTGCTTAGCCTTGTCTCATAGGTGACAACATATTTCTGCAGTGCAAGTTTATTCTCTTTTTAAAGGTTTGTTATGCCACTTCACTTTTACAAAGACCAACATGAGTACAGTAATGGTAACCTATAAAGAAAAAGATCTGAAAAAGTATATATACATACGTATACCCTGATAGCTCAGCTGGTAAAGAATTACCTGATGCAGGTGACATCAGCTCAATTCCTGAGTCAGGAAGATCCCCTGGGGAAGGGATAGGCTCCTGACTCCAGTATTCATGGGCTTCCCTAGTGGCTCAGATGGTAAAGAATCTGCCTGCAATATTGGAGACCTGAGTTCGTATTCCTAGATCAGGAAGATCCCCTGCAGATGGTGAATGGCTACCCACTCCAGCACTTTTACCTGGAGAATCCCATGGACAGAGGAGCCTGGCAGGCTATGATCCAGGGAATCACAAAGATTTGGACACCACTGAGTAACTAAACGTTCAGTTTCATTTTTCTTCATGGGTAGGATAAGTCTTGAGTAAATGTGGTTTCTACTCTAGAGCAATGAGGGCATTTAAAGAGAAAAAACTAAGGCCAGTGATTATATCTTAGGGGCTATATCAGAGGCTCAGTGGAGGAGTAAGATTAATGCAACACAAATTATAAATTGTCAACAGAACACTTGGAAGGCATGAGAACTGAAAAAGTAAATGCAAGCAGTCTGGTATTCACAGTGGATACAATTTTACTAGATTGTCAGTAAATTTAAAGCTCGTTTAAGATCTTCCTTTACACATCCTCAAAAATCTGTCCTGAGGATAAACTACCATGTGACTATTTTTCATTCATTAAAAATATATATTTAGGGAATAAATGTGCTTCTCCTAAAAATCAGTGAGATATAATGTTTGGATCTGTTGTATAAACATATTTGGTTTAATCTGGAATATCATTTGGTAAAAATGTTAGGTATTAGTGAGGGAAGTGAGCTAACTACTGTTAAAGATAAACTATGAGGCATACATCTTGACAGGCTCGTTACATACATTATTACTGTAGGGACAAGTATTGGTAAATAGATTTCTATCCATTTTATACAAGACAAAAGTGACTCAATAAAGCTAAGTAAGAACATGACGTCTTTTAGACTGCTTCCTCTACTCCTCCCACTTCATGATGGGAAAATATCACTTTCCCACTTTCTCCCTCCTTGTTGGGAAAATATCAAAACACAGGTCTGATCATTGGCCACATTGTGAAGACTGTCTTTGAGGCATTCTTCTGTTTTTCTTTGGAGGGGAGATTTCTTTCCTTCATCTCTCTGTTGATCTCAATTTCCCAGGTTTGTCACACACTCCTGATTCCATTTTGGTCAAGGAAAATCATCTGCTGATCTCTTTCTGGCAGATGTATTATCCTTCATGGACATCATGAAAAGTGGGGTACAACAGGCTCAAGAAATGAAATTCAAAGGCTGCATTTCAAAGGAAGGGACACGTGGGTAAAAAAGATGTCTAGAGGAGAAGCAAACAACCCAGAGCAGCCAACATCTGCTGAACGGAAGCTGCAGGCACGCAGCGGCGGGACCCGGCCCCAGGGAGACCTTCCGGACAGTGTACCGGCTGGATCCTGCAGCCTCTCCTTTCAGGAACCAGCCCTGAGAGGTTACTGCCCTGGCTGGCGACCCGATGGGCTGAAGAGGGCTGTCCGGCCGTGTCTGTGCAGAGCTAGGAGTAGATTCTCGTTCGCCGGCACCACGTCCCGCCTCCAGAGTCTCAAGTCTTCTCCGAGTGCGGCCTTCGGCGCCCTGCCCCGTGTCCGCAGCGCCCGTCCTTCTGGGCCCCCAGGATGGGAACCGTGCCGTCCACAGTCTCACGCGCTCGCTTGCTCCTCTAGTTGCTTCCGGTTCCGGGTGCCCTGCGCTTTTCACTTCCCCTTCTTCACTGGGCCTCCAATCGGCTAACCTCTTTTCAACTCAGCTTCTGGCCAGAGACCTCTCCCGGGATCTCAGCTCCCTCCTGCCAGCCTGTGCCTGTCTGTCCCTGACTTTGACCTATGCGTCTATGCCCTGGCCCTCGAGTTCCCCTGCTG